TTTTCATTATCTATCCCCAGTTCAATTCAACTTTAGTTCAGTTTATAGCACCATTTCACAATATGTCATCTCAAGGCACTTTACAGAGAAAAAACAGTAAGATAGGTTAAAAGTTTCTGTCAAGGAAAACCAGTTAATTGCATCCAGTCAGACTTGCAAGTTATGCTTCACCTGGATGAGCTTGCAGCAATGATTTTCCCTTGAATGTTGTCATTGACTCTTCTGCAATTCCTCTCACTAAGCATGCACGCAGCGACAGTAGGGTGGAAAGCTCCCTTTTAACAGGGAAAAAAAACCCCAACAGAACCAGGCTCAGTGTGGGTGGCCTTCTGTCGGGATCAACTTGGGATCCCAGAGATGCTAGTTTTGTTTTTAAAGCTTTATTCTAACTTCTAGATTTCTATGTTTAAGCAACCTGGTGTGAGAAAAACACCCTCAATATAAGGTTGATCTTTTCAAAAGATTTCAAAACATTTCTCTGACTCTTAAAAAAAGGTCTATTAATATATCATTATGAGTTTATAAAGTAAGCATTGGAAGACTAAATCCACTGCACTGGGGGAGGCCAACATGCCACAATAGATCACAAAAAATTAAGTATAAATAAGCTAAATACATGTATTACGTGATAAAAAAAAACCTTATCAGACACTTTTGTGTCTTTAATCTATGTAAACTAGTGTTGCGCCGATGCCTTTTTTTGGCCCCGATACCGATGCAGTATCGGCCAATACCATACCGATACAATCTGTTTGAAATAGATGTGTGTATATATATGAAGAACTGCATACTACTTGGATGCAAAATATTTACCATCATGGCTTTGTCTGCTGCCTACCTTTGTGAAGCATGAGAAAGACTAAAGGGCAGATTAGACTTCTGCAATTGCACACATCAAATGTCGCTTGGTTCTGGTTGCTAACCAGTTTTGCTGGTATGCTTCTGCACCGTCGGTCTGGAATTTCAAGGGACGCACAGCAGTTTCCCGCCAATGCACAAGGGGGAGCCTATTAGAGAACTCGCGAGAAGTTCTGCGGATGGTCACGAGAACTTTGGCGGCGCCAGCGGGAGTCATCAAAACAACAATGGTGCGTCTGCAAGATATCATGGCCATGGAGATTGATCTAGAGTTGCTAGACATCGAAGAGGAACAGGTTCTGTTAATGGAGTTGACAAAAAGACGATTAACCTTTCGTCATAGTTGTCCATTGTTGTTGTTCCTCGGTGTTTAAAAATGGCACACCTGGCACCGAATCGAGAAGAAAGACCAAACAGACAGTCTGAAAGGCATACCAGGGACCAATCACTGTTGCTTTTTGTCTGCGCACTTCCACTTAAGGTCTGCGCGGGTTTGCGATCGTCCGACGTGTAGTCAGGATTATTTCTTTAAGGTGCGCGACAACGTTGCAGAACCTCTACGTGTGTGTGGGGGGGGGGATTCGTTCGTGCACAGAGACAGATTTGACGGCTGCAGAGGCTATGCATCAGAAGCATTATTTGGCCTTAAAACAAAGCGAATCCAGTAGAACTTTTGAATAAACTTTTGGCCGATACTGACACCACCATTTTAGTGCAGTATCAGGGCCCAGTCCGATACTGGTATTGGTATCAGTGCAACACTAATGTAAACAACCCGTTTATAACTATAATAAATATTAAAACCAGTTCAATATATTCAGCATTAGGGTGCAAAACTCCCCCAAATCCAATCAAATGTTTTGGAGGATTTGTAGAAACACAGCATGATGACTGAAGAAAAAAATAATAGAAAAACTATTGATTACCCAACAACTGATTTATTGCAGTGAAATTAATAAAATGAAAACATTTCTATAAATTAATGTTGTATAGAACATGCTTTATATTTAGTTTGTAAGGTTTGGGATAAAATGAGCTGCCAGTGGAAAGCTGTAATCTGACAGTAAAGCAGTTATTAATGTTGTCATTAAGATGTAATCTTTATTAGATAGAATGAAGGATAACCAGGCCAAGAAAGTGCCCGCACATATCAAACACGCATGCGCAATCCAATTATTTAAAGTCATTATTTTTAAAGCTCACGAAACGTTTTGAACGCAATGGTGGAGGTTCTTGAAAGCACGTCATTATGCCTTATTTTCTATAACGCCTGTTAAACACAGACAGTTATATTAAACGACGCGCACTTTGCTTTAGTTTCTGAAAAACACTCTTTAGGTTGGAGCTCTTTAATGAGATGAATGGAAAGGATTTGAAAGTTACAGCTTTGCCTTCCTCCAAGCTCCGACTTATGTTAGCAGCCCCGCTAACAAACAAGCGTTTAAACAGACGCCATGACAGTCAGTTCTTATATAAAAATGCTGTTTTATTAAAGACGCGTCTCCCCATCAAACTGCTTCAGTGACATTGTTCACCCAGCAAAAAGGAAACTGTTTATTGTAGGCACTCACCAGCGTTGCATTCTCTTCGTCCGCCATCTTGAGACGAGCATAAGCCGTTGCTATGGTTACGAATGTACGTTAAGGGGGGCCGTGCGTGATGACGTCTGTAACTGTGAATGACGCTTATAAAATTATTCATAATGTTTATCCTGTTAAAACTTTTTGATAAAAAGATATAAATGGTATTTGGACTTAATGTGTACTTTTTGTAAAAATAATTGGATTTAATTATACCAAAATATTCTGGAGAGATATGTCAATTTTTTTTTTCATCAAAAAAATCTTAACATTACTTTAACAGATAAGGATATTTTGTTTGGAATGGAGAAATGTGAACTTGTCAAAACATAATTTTTATATAATTCTTTATTATTATTTATGGTAAATATTATATTCACACCTCTAAATATTTACAACAAAAACCTAATTTATACATTTTCTATATAGAATTCTTAAAATTTAGTTCAAATGCTAAAGCCATGCAAATTATAACTTCCCTTAAAGAAGTATCGAGCATAGATTAGGTTTGATTTTGACATTTTAAATGGTAAATGGCCTGTACTTATATAGTGCCTTTTTTTAAGTCAGAACACTTGACCAAAGCGCTTACACTACATTCATTCACCCATTTACGCACACACTCACACACTGATGGTGGCAAGCTACATTGTAGCCACAGCTGCCCTGGGGCTCACTGACAGAAGCGGGGCTGCCGTACACTGGCGCCACCGGGCCCTCTGACCACCATCAGTAGACAATGCAGGTGAAGTGTCTTGCCCAAGGACACGACGACAATGAAACCGTCAACCCTTCGATCTCAGGGCAAACTACATCCAACGCCACTGTCGCCCATTAAACTATTAAAATAATAGTTCTGTTCTGTAAAGCCCTTTGTTGTCGTATAGTTTTGTAATTACTAATGTTCTATATTGTTCATGTATGTTCTTAAAAAAAAAACTGAGGGGAGAAAAAAAGGGTATTTTTCTGTATACTATATTAGTCTCAGCACTTGAATGGGCAAATGAGTCTTAATCTAGTAAATATACGTTTTTTATTAAGGGATTTAAGTATAATGTAATTGACTTTTTAAATAACCCTTGTGGAAAACTAACAGGGGGATAAGAATAAATACATTCTGGGCTAGTGAACATACAAAATATGTTTTTTTTTTTTTTTTTTTAGAGGTCAAATCCCACAAAGTTTAAAAATCTGGTTGAATAAAACACTGATTTGAAAAGTTTCTGACTGCAACCTTCTGACTTTTTAGTCAGAAGGTTGCAGTCAGAAACTATAAACAGTGTTTTCAAGGAGGTGGGAGGCTATCATTTTTACCGAAGTTATCTTCAAATTTGCTGTGAGAACATCGATCTAAACCTTTTTTTCTATTCCTATCTGCAGAGTGAGACTTTAGAAGAGTCAGCATGCAGAAATGCAGGGATGTTCCAACATCACCTAGTTTAAAAAACACAATTCATTAAAACAGCATTCAGTTAACCCTTAAACTGCCTGTCAACCTCCATTTGGAGGACCTAACCTACTCATAGGAAATGTTTTATTCTGTTTCACAATGCTGGTGAAGATTCTCAGTCATCAAGGTCATAGTCATTCCCAAAATTTTTTTTTTTTAAACAATCCACTGGACCGTGTTTCCAAGTTTGAAGACATTTCACTTCCCATCCAGGAAGCTTTTTCAATTCAAAATGTCAGGAATAGCGTTGAGTTGGAGGTTTTATACAGCAGTCCATCAAAATCTTGTTTTGTTTTTTTTTGAAAACATGCAAATTAAAATGGACAAACATGTCCACCCCATTGGAATGGGGGTCGTTTGGCTTCTTTTGTTAGCCTGCAAAGCCCTATACCTGTCTATGTCTCTGAAAGGGGGGTCATTTAAGAGAATTGTTGGCCTGGCTGAGTGGGCGAAGTCTTCTGCTCTCTGGTACAGGGATTGGGGTCGCAATGATAGCGGGAAGCGATCAACTCAATTGCTGCATCGTAGGTTATTGAAAGCTGAAATCTGAGTCCAAAATGTTGCACAATGCTTCTTTTGGCTGGGATGTCAGCTGAATTTTTTTAATAAGTTATAGACCATGCTAAATATTTAAAAAGCATATTGAGTCAACCCATGTTTCCATCAAAAGCTTTTGAGATAGATATTGGGTCAGGACGTAAAACTGCTATGCTTCTACCTACCTAATGTCAAACATAAATTGAAGCTATAATGCTGTGAAAAGTGTGAAATATGATCATATATTTTTTCAATTATGTCATCATGCTCAAAACAAGCTACAACATTTATAACGGTAATTATGAAATAACTGTTATGAACTGGTTATGCTTCACAGTATAGACCTGCAGAACGCTCCACATCACCTACAGCTACTCTGGCATCACCCTTAGTTATTAACTAAAGCCCCTTAATTATTGGTTATGGTTTACCATACATCTACACTGGACTTATTAATAAACAAATGGTTTAACTTTCTGTATACTGTAACTGGCACACAATGACCTTCCCCCTTTAACTCATCACTTGTAGCAGTCCATAGCATGTAAAGAAAAAGTCTTTAAAGACAGTTTGAATCCACACTTTTAATGCTTGTTAAGACTGGGCCGTTTCCCTTCAAATACCCATCCACTAAGTACAGCTTAAATAAACATATTTACAAACACGTTATAATGCATATATCAATGAGAAACACCAAAGACAGCCCTTTTCATACACATAAAATCATTTTAAAGGGTTTTAACTGTAACACAAAACCAATAAGATTAAGACTGGACAAAAAAGGTGCCTAAAAAATGTGATTCAGTGTTATGGTACCATAAATATAGAAGTTGTCAGTTATATATACATTTACAGGACAGGTCTTATAAATCCTAAACCCATCAAATAACTAGCTGCATTTATGTGCGCTGCAAGTATTCTGTTCTTTCCGCTCATTAATGCACCTATATCCAATAATTATCAGTAGATCTGTACCAAACCTCAATGTATTACTTTGTAATCACAGCAAAGTTCAGTTAAAACAAAATATATAGATATTCCTTCACAACATAGTATGAAATAAAAACGTAGCAGCTCCCCATCCACCCAAGAAATCCCATCTTCATTTAGAGACATTCCATCAAAAGTCCAATTACAAAGACAGACCTTCATCCCTTCACCTTCATTAGTCATTGGTTCATGTGTCCTACATACATAAAAGCATCAAGCTTGGAAAAAAGAAAAAAAAAAAAGGTAACAGAAGAGTCAGAAAAACTTGGTCCTATAACAGAATGATATTGCTTTATAGGCATACTATGCGGTGTACCTTAATATTCAATAATAATTCTACCCTATTGCGTGTACATTTGTTCTTAAGGCTTTATTACACTGCTTCTAAACCAAGCTTTTTAGATTTACATAAAACATATTTTCTTTTAAATCAGCCTCTGTTTTCCTGGAGCATTTTATGATTTCAGATGGTTGCAAATTCCAACATATTGCACATTAATAAATGAAGTCTAAAGTTGGAAACAACTGAGCCGCGTTCAAGGCACTGACTTCATCACCATAACTTCTTGTTTTTATCTGTACATGGTCCGAAAATGTTATTTGCAATACAGTGTTTAAGAAAATGTAGCTATAAGGTTTATAAAGCCGATATCTGTAGGACGTTTCTTTTTGGATTTTGGCAAATTTCTGTATGATTTTGAAACCTTTGCAGGCATTTCTGGAGCAGTTTAGTTTTCTTGGTTAGTGCCAAAGGCTCCCTGGGCAGCAGAGGTGGCAGCGCTAGCTGCAGCGCTCTGGAAGGTGCGGTTGGTCAGAACTCCTTGGGAAAACTCCTGCTGAGCCTTGGTGAAGCTCGCGCCAGTCCTTCTGTACTTGGAGTGGACCTGAGATAAGAGCAGTTAAGGTTATCATGGAGACATTTCCTTTTGGACATCATAAACTCAAATGATTATTCAATATCCCATTCTGTGTACAGGTGTGCATAATCCATGCCACCTTTTGATAAGTATTGGAAACTGAATGAATAATGAATCTGTATGCAAAACAAGCATATAACGAGTCTGTTGGAGCCAGAGCTCCATGAGCAAAAAGTTATTTCCCTTCATTGACCTCCAAATTATGGCTTGCTTGGTTTATATTTTCTTTCTATGCTTTCAACCAAATCCTGGATCCTTGCTTCCCTGAACAATGCAGACCTCCAGCCTGGACCCACTCAAAATGGTTTTACTGAAAATGGACTAGAAAGCCCTTTACTACAGCTGCACAAGAGTCATTAACCAAAGACATCTCCAAAACAGGCCAGTCTGCATCTGGACAGTAAAACCCTGGGGGAAAAACCACCCCAGTTGAAGACTTTATACATGCCTCCAATTAAAAAACAAACTGGTAATCTCTATTGGAGGGTTTTACATGGTGCCATCGCCATAAGCTCGTTTTTATCCCTTATCTTATTAATTAGGGTGTTTTAAATGAGCGTCCTTTCTGCGCTCTATCTGAAAATGTATTCCATGTTTTTATGGAATGCACAAGACTAAATACCTTTTTTAGCTTTTTAATAAGCGTTTTTAGTCTTTTTAGAAAATTTTTTAAAAATGCCAAAATAATAGAAACAAGCCAAAGACCTGACATTGAATTTTTTTTTAATCAGCAAAGCAAAGATGGCCCTTTACTTGTCCTGCAAAGACCCTGCAGGAGGGACCTCACCTTGATCCTGTGGCTCTGTGGAGGTGCAACGTTAAAGCCAGAATAAAGCTGGAGTTTCACTTCCTCAGAACATGGAGGATTTCATGCAGCTGTGGGGCTTTAACAAAATTATACGTAACCTGACAGATGGAGTACTACAACAAGCTCCTCAGTTAAGTGATTTGTAGCAGACACTAGTTTTACATAAATAATTAATTATTTTGTTTGATTTTTTTAAAATAAAGAGCTGTTAAAAGTCTTTAAATTGAGCTCATCAAGATGTTTGAGGACTTTTCCTTTCTACAAAGTGAAAACAGCATTACGGAAATCTGTAGTACATAAAATGTTTTACTACACACTGTCATGTCAACCTAATTGGATGATACATGTAAAAAGAAAACAGGTTTGCACTTACCAATTTTAGCAGGATGACACCCAGAACAGCGTTGACAGTGAAAAATCCAGCCACTACCATCATAACCACAGCGACCCCCAAGTTATAACCAATCATGCTAATTGATGAGATCCATCCACTGTCAAAAACAAGAGAAAAATGTTTGAAATTTGTCTTTTTTTTTTTTACTCAGTATAATGCAACACCTATCTAAAAAAACTTGTCAAAATCTACTTAGTTTGCTAATATAAATGTTATTCTTAGTGACACATGAAAAAGATGAGGCTTGTAAGAACTGAGGATGGAAAAAAGCTTTTAAGTATTGATACACAACATGATGCTGAAAATAAACCCCAAGAAGAAAAGCTCAGCGCACTTACAAAAAAAGCACCCCAGACAAGATAAGTCAACAGGAATCTGTCAAAGATATGCAAGAGAGTGGAAACAGGAGAGAAATAACCACCAGAACACTTAGCTGAGAGTTATGCATGCGCTATCCAGATCCTATGCACACCGTCATGCTTATACAAACTGAAACAGACAGCTTGTTTAAACTAAAACTCACCTGTTTCCCCATGAGGGGATTCCTACTGACTGGATGATGTACACTGCCACTTGGAAGAAGAAGACGAAAAAGAAGAAAAAGAAGCTGAAGGAGCTGTCAGACCTGTGGAAAAAGAAAAATGTAAGACAATGTAAGCGTTGCTTAAATAAAGCGCTGCAGAACTACAGTAGCAGGCATTCAAAATGGCCCTTTCCAGTCAGAAGGCAGCAAAATCCCCTCCAACTTCCAGCCACTGGCCGCCTCCTGGACGTGCATATTTTTTTACTCTGACTCCACCCTTTCACTGAATTACAGCGTCTGACCAAAAGATAACGCGTCTCTTTAGATCTGAATGTCCACAAATCATGACAAAGATATTTTAGATGTTTAAAAAGGAATTTTAGCTAAGGACCAACCAAGGGCCCATCCAGGAAAGTGGGGAAATTTTGAATGGTTACTACTGTAGTGATTGCCAGAAACATCTCAGAACTGATTGGTAATGACTCCTGAACTCCCAAACATTTTTTTTTTTTTTTCAGATTTAGATTATTAAATTAAATCCCATGACCTAAAGTTGGGACTGACCTCTTTTTAAAGCTTATATATTTTTTTTAAATAGAGTTAAAAATAAATATTTTTTTGTTTCAAATACGTGAGATTTAAATCAAGAATACTTATAACAATAATATAAAAGGCTCATAGAGCGACAGTATCACACAGCCCTACACTGACCTACGAGTGTAAGTTAAACCAGCATCTCAAACTTTAGTCCTGATCTACCCCAAGACCACTTTAAACATTCCCTACTTTCAAGGTTTTATATTCCACAATCTGTACAGTTTTACCCCAATATAACAGTAGCTACCGTCACGCCGCACAAAAGAAGCCAAGACAGAAAAAACCTGTTGCTGCAGCAAAGTCACAAATTCAGACGCATCCCTTCCACTAAATGGACAGCATGGATGTTATTGAATTTATTACTGCAGTTCAATGGTGAACAATATGGAGGACCAGGAGGGTTGGAAATAGAAAAACATCCATTTCAAATGTAACATTTAAATCATACAATTAGAAATCCCATTTGAAAAGCATCATCTAACTGTACATGTTAAATTCAATCATTAACTGCATTTAATGATTCAATATTAAATAAATAGATTTCTACTATGATAACTGGTGATAAAAATAATATTCAATAAGATGTATTTGTGTTTAATAAGTGTTTATTCAGACAAACATGAATTCTTAACTGTAGGCCTACATAATAGGTCATGATGAACTGTTTACAGTCAGTAGCTTTGTGTCAGTCAGTCCAAGCTCTCTTTCCACTTTTTCAACTCAGGCAGACCAATATTTGGTGCAACAGCTTTTTAGGATAATACTAAAATCTGTGTTAAGTATGTCTCTTTTGATGTGAAGATCTCNAAATCATACAATTAGAAATCCCATTTGAAAAGCATCATCTAACTGTACATGTTAAATTCAATCATTAACTGCATTTAATGATTCAATATTAAATAAATAGATTTCTACTATGATAACTGGTGATAAAAATAATATTCAATAAGATGTATTTGTGTTTAATAAGTGTTTATTCAGACAAACATGAATTCTTAACTGTAGGCCTACATAATAGGTCATGATGAACTGTTTACAGTCAGTAGCTTTGTGTCAGTCAGTGCAAGCTCTCTTTCTAATTTTTCAACTCAGGCAGACCAATATTTGGTGCAACAGCTTTTTAGGATAATACTAAAATCTGTGTTAAGTATGTCTCTTTTGATGTGAAGATCTCAAGGTTTTTTAAAAATGTGTCATGAAACTCTAGCTCTAGAAATGAAATAGGCAGAAATTAAATGCAGAGGTAAATTTCTCCAATGTGAGATCAGTAAAGTTTAATTATTATTATTATTAATTGTCATTATTATTTTTATTAGTATTAGGCTAAATAAATACCACAGAAGCTACATTTTCAAAAAGCATCCCACTTTACCCACTTAAACCGAAGCAAAGATAAAGTTGTGGTAATAATTTGTAGTGTTGTGGTAAAATGAAATTTTAAATTACTTAGCATAGCCTACCTGCCTTTAAGTGGCACTTCAGAACGCAAGAACTCCTGCACTGAACCAATTCCGCATTGCCAAAGGTGCAAATAGCTTTAGCCTTGTCGAGTTTTTCATTCTTAAGAATAAATTTTCCCTGGAGCAAACCCAGCGTCTTTATAGCTGCATCCATGTTAGCTCGTCATGTTCAATGTGCTTATTTATCAGTAAGGCTACACAGGTTTGACGGCTGATTCTCGCCCCTAGATATACATCCGCGCTAAAATATCAAGGTGAAAGTCATCATTAGTATACACCCAGCTCCCAACCCGACTGTGAGAATAGATTAACGGACATATTTTGTTTATCGCCCGATAACGGGCATTAACGCAGCTTTTGTTAACACCGATAACGGCCCATCAATAGTTCTACGAAACTGGGGGCTGAGAATAATTGAACCAGTACATAAGGACAATTACAGTATTGCTAAATAAAGATTCCAGGATCTACATTTTAAATCACTGTTGAGATAAGAAATAGATGTTGCCTAATTTTATACAACCTAAACCTTCATGTAAGTACTGCTTTTTTATTTAGCAACAACAAGGTAGAAAGGAAGGTTTTTTTAGACTAAAGAAACAAAACATGTTTTGGATTTAACAAAAAAGTTAATATGTAAAACACAACTTTGGTGTCAGAATTAGATTTCCCTTTAATAACCACATCAGTATAGTTGAATAGACAGTTTGAAAGCAGTGAAATGTAAAACCTTCATGAGTTTTTCATCAATATTTAAAAAACAGGAGCATTAACGTACTTCTGACCTACTCAGAAAGTTTAACATTAATAGAATACACACCACTGCTCATGCATTCTTGTATGTCGACTTTTCAACAACACCTGGATGCAGTTTTGATCATATTAACAAACTAATTTGCATAAAAAAAATATATGCAAAACATGTTTACCTGAAGGCTTTGTAAACTGGCCTGTACCAGCAGACGAAGGACACGGGAGTGAAGAGGATGAACCAAAGGATGGACAGACCAAAGTCAACTCCTTTACTGCTGTCGGCGGTGAAATAGGCCAAACAAGCCAGCACGTTGAGGAAGAGTGTGACGCTGTGCACTGAGGTGGTTCACCAGAAAACAGGAGCAAAAAGAAAATAATTCATCAACCCATACATTTTAAAACATGTCTGTTTTAATTGCCTACAATAAACACACAACTGTTTAGGTTTTGCATAGAGGATTCCTTGAAGACAGGATACATACACATCCAGAGGTAATACATCCTCTTGCATATTCTGCGGTAGTCTTCTGGGATTTCTTCATCAAAGTTCTGATAGAAGCACGGCTTTATAGGAAAGAACTTTGGAAGAGGTGGCCAGTTGTTCTCCTTAGCTAAGAAACATAAATTTGAACATTCCAGTTACATTTCTGCTTGTTTTTTTTTTACTGAAATATGTTCCTTTGCAGCTCCTGAAATCTGCTAATCTTTACCTCCTGTGTTTGGGTCTCTGCTCGTGGTCCTGTTCTGTAACTCCTGCTCCTTCCGCTCCAGCTCTGCAGCCTTCCTCTCCAGCTCTTCCTGCTGTTTGATCAGGTTAGCCTGAGCAGCTGCTGCCGTCGCCTGAAGCACATCCAACAAACCAAAGCTCAAACACCACAACTCTGTCTAGTAAACATGTGATGACAAATTATTGAACCCCACAAAAATGAAACTCTTCTCTTGAGAAAAAAAAAAGTAGACAAATCTATCCTCAAATTTTTATCCTTAAAGGTATAGTGGAGGATTTTTGCGAATATATGAAAAGACCAGCCCCCTCCACTTTAAAAAATAATGCACATGCACAACCCTGCGCGTCTGAGAGCGAGCACAAGCCCATTTCTCCTTGTGCACGCTCTGTTTAAACGTTGCTTTTACATCGCTCGTAGAAGCTTACTTTCCAGAGGAAGATTTGCAATTTTTCCACTATATCAGACTCACCGCCAGTAAGTGCAAATGGGGAAGAGCACGTAGGACAGCCTTACGTAAACATATCACCAGAATGATTGACAATTAGGAGGACTACTTATTTTGATGATCCACCCAGAAAAAGAACATCCTCCACTATACCTTTAAGTAAATTATTACTTGATCAAACATTTATGGGAAAATTAGGCATCACAGTTGCTCAATCTAAACTAAAAATAAAAATGAGAAGCTAAACTTGGAGAATGAAAAGCAGCAGCAAAACTTTTAAGAGGATACATTCAACAAGTTACAAAACTTGCTTGCAAAATGATTGTAGGAATATGCAATATTTCTACTGCCTACTTTTAAGCATTGAAAAAGGATCCCTTTAAAAATGTGACTTCTTAATATTTTTAATGTACTGGATCCTGTTTGCAATAAACTTAAAAACGACCTGCTTAACATTTCTAATTTGCCATTTCTCCCATTCATAGGAAAGAAACATTTAGCCACCTCTTTAAAACAATTCACCTCCTTTAACCTTCATATTCTTCCTCTATCCTAAAACCACATGGCTGTGGTTTGTACCAGCAATGCTATCAGCCTTTTTCAAAGATTTTAATTGGTAATGTGAAGTTTTTTATGTCCTAAAATACAGATTAAATCAATCAGAGGTGCCCAGACTTTTTGGATCCTTTTGATTTTTAGTCATTACAGAAGACTTACTGCTGTAGATAGATTTTATCTGGTATCTGTCTGAACGAAACACACACAGACTTTGTTGTATTATCAAAAGCTCTGTTAAGTAGGGCTGGGCGACATGGCTTAAACATTTTTTTTTTAAACAAATCCAATGGATTTAGTTTTTTTTCCTTTCTTAAGTTGTGCAATAAAAAATACACATTACATGCTTTCAAAAACTAGCTCTTATTTCCGCCCTCCCCTCTGGTAGGCAACCTTAATTCAAGCAGCAAAAAATGCAGCAAAATAATCATGTTTCACAACAAAAAAATTATAAAGACATTAAATCCAAAAAAAAAGAAAATTACAAATGATCCACTGGACTTTGTTTCCAAGTTTGAATACGTTTCGCTTCCCATCCAGGAAGCTTTTTTTAATTCAAATTGTCGTTGAGTTCGAGGTTTAAATCCTGGAACTCTAATGTTATTCCTGACAATTTTGAATTTTTTGGAATGACTATGACCTGAATGACTGAGAATCTTCACCAGCATGAAGACACTAAATGTTTGCAGCTAGTGGTGTTACACAGTGAGATAGTTGATCAAAGTAATGAAAGGGAGTCACTCTGAAGTTTGGGAGCCCAAGGAGTAGATTGGTTATTTTTGTTTTGTTTTTTCTAAAAGCTAAAAACTTTAACAAAAAATTTGATTAATTTTATTGATTAGTTGCCCAGCCCTACATAGAACTATCCTACTTGCCTTAAAAGGATTTTAATTTACTTTCAGAGCATAATTCTAAATGATAGAAGACTGGAAATCTAACTGAACCTCAGTTTCCTGTTACCCTTAAATTTGTTGGTAGCACTGCTGCCTTGCAGCAAGAAGGTTCTGGCTCCGATTTCCGGCCCAGGGTCTTTCTGCATGCAGTTTGCATGTTCTCCCTGAGCATGCATGGGTTCTCTCCGGGTACTCCGGCTTCTTCCCACAGTCCAAAAACATGAGTTTTAGGTTAATTGGCTTCTCTAAATTGTCCTTAGGTGTGAGTGTGTGCATGAATGGTTGTCCTGTGTGTCTCTGTGTTGCCCTGCGATGGACTGGCGACTTGTCCAGGCAGGGTGTACCCCGCCTCTTGCCTATTGACTGCTGGAGACCAGCACCCCTCGCGACCCCAATTGGGACAAGCGTGTCAGATAATGGATGGATGGATGAATCTGTTTCTGTCACATAATGGCAATTGTTTTAATTTGTGTGGCACAAGGACGGAAGTTAAAAACTATCTGCAAAGGTCTGCTGACCCTGCGTGGGCCCCTCTATAGGCAGACAGTGTGACATGGAAAGTTATTCATGTACAGCCCAGAGAAATGTTAATGATTTTAGGATTGGTTTAAATCAATTAAAACTGTAAATACATGCACAACTTGTCATTGTAACTGAACTTAATATTTTTCTAGTGTAGGTAGACTCTTCCCTCCCACTTACTTGTGTGCTTTGCTCCACAGATGTGGGAAGTACAGCTGGCTGGGATGGAGAGGTAGCAGGCGCAGGGACGGTTGTTCCAGAATACTGTCCCTATAAGAGAAGTAAATAAAAAACACCTATTGGCAAAGCACCCTTTGAGAAATACTTTTCATCTGTAACTTCAGTTAATTATTGATGTATCACCATTTCTGCTGCAGAGAATGGATTATACTCCCCAGTGCTTTCATTGGTCCTGCTGATGGCCTGTGTGACTGAGGCATCCTGGAAGAAGAGGAAAAACAGACATACAGTGAGGACAGATGGGAACTCTGTATGAACTAATACTCTTATGAGGGGCTCCTGGTCTGCAGTCAGCATCTATTAAAAGTTACTCTATCAATCAATCAGAGAGAAGCCATGTGGAGAATGAGGACTGGCCAGCCTGATCAATTTATTATAGCTCTACCTGCTGAAGAACTTAATGTTAGTTCTTAGAGAAATTAATATCCAAAATCAAACCTCAAAGCTGACCTGGGTGACAGTAAATATCAGGCTGTTGGTATAGAGCTACATAACCACTGACCAATCAGGCTGCTCTCGCTCCACCATTGGGAAAGCAATGGTGATGCAAGAATCAGACCGGAACCACTGAGCTATGGAGTCAGTTCATGGGCTCACTTCTTAATATAAACCCTGTTCCCTGGTGAAAATGGGTCTCTTTTAAAGGAAAAATGGTCTCTGCTGTATTGCAGAATGATTAAAGAGTAGTTTAAGCAAAACAATGAAATTAAAGAGTTTATTTGGTTCCAGATTTCCAAATTCTCACTACAGCCAGATGTTCTGGACAAACATGTCTGATCCATGAAGGCCCCACATCACAACCTCCATGACTTAAAGGATGTGCTGCTAATTATTGGTACCAAGTCGAAAAGTTTCCTTTCAGAAGACTAGAGGTGGTCCCTAACTGAACAAAAACTGAATTAAGTAATCAACATAGAATATCATGCCCAGTCAATGCCTATGGCAATTATGCAAAGAAATATTAATACTGTTATCATGCAACCACTAGGTTTGTTATGGTGATTGTTTTTTATTAGATGTAAGCAAAGT